TGACGTACACCGTTGCCTGGCTGGTCATGGCCTCAATGTGGTGGGGCATCGCCTACCTGCGAGGTGACCTGCACCGGGCACATGACGACGCCTACAGTCCGTGCGTGGCCAACGTGTACAACTTCCCCTCCGCCTTCCTCTTCTTCATTGAGACTGAGGCCACCATTGGCTATGGGCACCGCTACATTACTGAGCGCTGCCCCGAGGGCATCGTGCTCTTCCTCTTCCAGTCACTGCTGGGCTCCATCGTTGATGCCTTCCTCATCGGCTGCATGTTCATTAAGATGTCCCAGCCCAAGAAGCGAGCCGAGACCCTAATGTTCAGCCATGCTGCAGTCGTCTCGCAGCGGGATGGCAAGCTCTGCCTCATGTTCCGTGTCGGCAACCTCCGCAACAGCCACATGGTGTCTGCCCAGATCCGCTGCAAGCTGATCAAGGTGAGGCCTGGTGTGACAGTGGGTGGGATAGGACACCTGCATTACAGTGGGTGACACAGGCAGGGCACAGGCCAAGTGGAACCACATGTCCATAGTGTGGGTAGCACGGGGCTTCCTCTGTGCAGTCCCTGCTGCTGCCTGCTGGTGGGCTCTGCCCTGCCCCAGGGACAGCTTCCCCGTCCCTTGGCGCGTGGGTGAGTCGACGTGGCTGGGGCGGTATGAAGGGCTTCAGAAAAATCTGCCATGGCAGCCCATAGTGGGAGCCACAAAAGAGCCAAGCAGGTATAGGGGAAAAGACAGTCTCATCAGAGAGCTCCCAGAGGCATTCCAGTGGATTGTGAGGCTGCCAGGAAACCGATTTGGTGAGGAGGGATGGATGTGTCAGGACACAGGATAGCTGCAGGGAGAGATGCTAAGGCATGCCCCTTAGCAGGTGACAGCTGGGAATAAGAAATTGATTACGACCATTTTGTGTGCCCTTAAATTAGGACAAAGATTAACCTTGGCCTCTTCTTCCCCTTGGGGAAACTTGGGGAGCTTTGATTTGCAGTTCCTTACCCCATGGTTCCAGCCACTAGCCTCCCAGCATTGCAGAGGGATTGTGCAGGTGCTTCAGTGGAAAGGCCCTTTGATTGTTACAGGTATCTATTTATTAATCACTGACAATGGTCTGTGTAATTCAGAATGCAAGAAAACAGGAATTCAAAGGAGATCATAACCTGAAAAATCAAAAAATCATTAGGAGACAGTAAGGTTTGGCAGGCACCAAAGTCTGGAGGAGACATTGGGCAGGAGTAGCATGGAAGGAAAACACTATGCGACATGCCAAGACAAAGTAACATAGCAGCTCATAGCAGCTACGTCTTGTCATGGGAGCGTGCTTGATGGGGAGCGTCAGAAGCTGGATGCGAGTGAGGACGTTAATTTCAAAATATCATATTTGAATGTCGTAAATGTTCTCTATTCTCTATGGTAATCCTCTCTTTGGAGCAACTGTTGGCCATTTTAATAACCTGCAGAAACAAGCAGGATACAGTAGGTGATGGGACAATGGTAAATGCGAAAGGTTGTTTTCCTCCTGTTCTGTGCAGAAAGCTTGACTGAACTGTTAATTTTTCTTGCTGCAGAATACCATTTAAAATGGAGAATCTGATAAAATTCAAAAAGAGGTTGTGTGTGTATATATGGGAACAAGCTGTCAGGAGTTACAATGGAGCAATTTTTGTAGGAATCAGAAAGCCAGCTAAACCATGATTTTGTTGACCTCTAACTATTAAAAATTAGCAGAAAGCCTCCTCTAAAGTATTTCATTCTGTCCATCATCCAAGACAGAGTGCAAGTCAAAGTGGAATAAAAGCAGTGTCACAGTTGTGGTTTTACAGTCATAGTGATTCACTATAATCTTCTTTAGAAATAAGACACTGAACACACAATGTGGTGCACTTTGTGCTGGGGATTCTGTTGCTACACAATGCTGATATGCAGATGATTGAGACAGAAAACACAAGGACATTTGATGGACCTGCTTGATAGCTGTTTCATAGACTAGACAATGACTCAGCTAGTAATACCTGATTTCTTTCAAATGATCATCATGCCCGTGACTTGTCTTCAAGCTGCTTTGCGACCTTTGGCAAATATAAGCTATGGACACAGGAAAGTTTAAAAGTACTAGATGCCCCCTCAGTCCTCATTACAAGATGTGATATTAGTTCCCACGTCTTTCTGTAAATCCTCCTCAGCTGAGGTGCCCCTTGAACTGGACACATCATTCCAGCAGTCATAGCAGCCGTTCCAGCAGTGTGTGAATTTACATCACCTGCATTGAAGTAGCTTTGTGTGTCCTGTAAACCTATGGTGAATATGCTGGAACTTGTTTACCATTTATCTTTAGCGAGTTCTGCCTTTTTGTGAGTTGTGCTCTTTCCGCTGTGCTTGGTACGGAGCTGTTGACAGCTGATCTTGCTACACTTCTCCTGCACCCTATTAGATATCTAGATTTTTTTTTTTTTAACTTGTCTCACAGTGAAAGAATGTGAAGAAATATGTCTTATCACACTTTCGTATTTGAGATAGGAGCCATATTTAGTAGTGAACAGTGCTTCAGTGGGACCAATGGAGCCCCGAGGATTTACATTTGTAAAGAAAGTGCACCAATCTAAGTCTGTCTGAATGGCATTTACTGAAAGTGTGATATATGCCCTAGGATATTAGATAGATTATAGTGGTGCCACAACACTGTGATGGCTTTTTTTGTGTTCCAGGGGACTGTGCAGCAGCATGGTGTAGTGATGTCGCAGAAAAAGTCTGGGTCCATTTATGAACTGAGTTGTGGAGAGTTTAGAAAACAGAGTTACAAGGCTAAGCTTGCGTGTTTCAGCAAAATCTTTTCCAAAAACCTGAGTCTTTCTAATTTACATTGAGTGCTCTAGAAGCAGGAAAAAGCAAACCTCTGGTGCAAGAAATAGAAAGAAGGTGGTTGGAACTAGCTGTTGAAAATGTGCCATTCTGGATCCTGGCCTTTTCAGTGTCACAGTGAACTGTATTTTTCTGCCTGTTAATTCCTGGAGCTCACATCTTTGAAAAAGCTGAAAGCAAACAAAATTGTAACAGAAAGTTCACAGATGGCAGTCGTTGCAAATAAGTAAGAAGACCCATTATATTGTGATCTCAATAACTCGATAAGCAGGGCATGTGCAGAAAGTGCAAACAATATGTTTTTTAATATCACAGAATCATTCAGATTGGAAGGGACCGTGGGAAGTCTCTAGTCCAGTCTCCTGTGTGGTGAACTAGGAGGTCAGACCGGGTTGCTTTGGGCTTTTTCCAGTCTGATTTTGGAAACCTCTAAGGACAAAGACTGCACAGCCTTGCTGGGCAAGCTCTTCCACTGCTTTAGTATCCTTATGATGGAAAAGTTGTTCTTTATTCCAGTCTGAACTTCTCTTGTTTCAATTTAGGCCCATTATGTCTGTTGCTCTCGCTGTGCACTGCTGTGAAGAGCCTGGCTCTATCTTCTTGATTACCTTCCTCTTAGGTTTTGAAAGGTTGCTACTCAATCACCCTCTACGCCTTCCCTTCTCCGGTCTGAACAAGCTCAGCTCACTTAGGTCGTCCTTAGAGCTTGGGGCAACCAAACTATATTAAAAAGTAGCAGTCATCCTGGGAATTACTGAAGCTAGAGCTCCAGGTATAGTGTCACTACCAAATACCATAAAATTCTTTAACAGCAGTATCAAAGTAACACGTTCATATTTTTTCAGTAATGTGATATATAATAAATGTTCTCGCAAGCTGCTAGTCTAAGAGTGGTGCAGAAGTACAAATAGGTGAGATCAAGGTTTTTGCTCCCAAATACCAGACGTGAAAATAACGCAGTACTGTATGGTAAATTAGCACGTACCAGTTTAGCATGGTCTGGGTTCCTGAGTTTCTCTACAACATACTGTGATACTAAGCTCGATGATCGTCTGTCCTTTGCATCCTGCGTTTTCTACTCCAATGCTTAACTAGTCTACCTAGGTATCAAAACATAATTATGTGAGTTCCCTAAACGAGTGAACTGAAAGCAGGTCAATAATAATAAAACTGTGTTGCGTCCAGTTAAAGAAGGATGTCCATAAACAGCGGGATTTAGAAAAGCGGCGAGAATGAATGAGGGATAGGAGTGAAGACTCAAAGGGCATAAAATGTTTGGTCAGACATAAAACCAGACCAAGTGATTATGCAATGGAAATCTGCCTGGTAATAAGAAACAAAAAAATGATCCAGTGGCAGAAAGTTAAAGGTGGAAAAATCCAGACACAGAAGTAGTCTTTTTTTATTAGGTGCGAGGCAAGTAACCTTCAGAGCAACTCATCTAGACATTTGGATTCTCCATCTCTGGCCACATTTAAAATTAAAGCTGGGGCATTTCTAAGTAATTGTGCCCTTGTTCAAGCATGTATTAATCTGCAGAATTTATTTGGCTTTGTGTTATGCGGATGATCAAAAAAAAAGAATCACGAGTGTTCCTTCCAAACTTATTGCTGACAGTTTATAGTCCTCCACTCTGTTTTGTGATCCTTTGAGTAAAGCTATGTATATGCAACAAAGGTCAGTGGCTAGGAGTCTTACCGTATTAGGGCTTAATTCAGGTTAATTTCTTTTTATTTAACAAAGTTTAAAAATGCTCCATGCCCTGCATAGGTCAGTCCTGTATGTAAGATACCGCATACCTCAAACACAAACTTTTGCTTTCTCCCAGATCTGTTACCTCTAATCATCCTCAACAGATTTGGTTACTATTGAGTGGATTTGATCAAAGACTCTCCCACAGAGAAAAATGGTTTGTAGATGAAATGGCTCCTAAGTCATTCAGGCAGCAATTTGTGCAAATATGCACTTCTTTGTCTAGGTAATTGTATTTGATAAAATTTCAGGTTTACATGTTGGTTCCTACGGCTCACGCTGAGACTTGTTACCGTAGAGCAAAGATCGTACGTTGCCAACCAACTTGTGCGCCTGCTGGAAGAGCAGTAGGCAGTGGCGCAGTCTGCACCTTAGTTCTGCAGGTTCTCTCAGGAAAAGAGAAAGGATGTTTTTGCAGTAGTTTGATTACACCTTTGCATATAAAGGAGACTGTCACGATTGCTACGTAGTAGTGGGTTTGATCGCTTTTGTTTTATAGCACTGTCTTTTACCTCTCAAAGCACAAATAATCCATGAGAATGCTTTTACAAGCCATCAGCTGGTATTTTCCTTTCCCTGCCCTCATCAATAGTGGAGAAACTGACTCTTGTTTAAGGGAGAGCTTGGTTATTTAGAGAGGAAGATTTTTATTTTTCCTCAGAAGAAAAACAGACACATAGCACATGAGTGAAATCATGTATTGTGTTTAATAAGGAGCTGTACTCTACCAGCTACCTAACTGGTTATGTAATTACCAGTAAATATCAGGCAGTTAAAAATTCAGCATTTTTAAGATAAAGGTGAAGCAGAGAGACAATCTGAAGGTACACTAGTTGGTTAGGGATTTTTTTTTTAAAAACAGAAACTTTCTTAAAAGAATACCAATCAGATCTAAGTCAACGGGAAAACTGCTAGCTTCAGCTCACTCTCAGGACTAATGGATGGAGTTTCCAAGCAATGGAACCTATACATTTGTCAATACCAATGCAACACGGTTAAAACTACGTGGTAACTCTGGTGGAGTAATCTATCATTTATAATCGGTAGTTGGCTTCTTAAAGAGTTAAGTGCTAATCAAGCAATAAGCAGAAAGGATTTTAAATAGGCCTTGCAAAGCTTTTCATTTTAACAGACAATTTCCAACAAAGACCTTTAAAGCAATCAACTGAGGAGCTTCCTGGCCAACAGATGTAATTTTTAGTTATACTTTGAATACCAGGAAAATTTTGGGGGAAGCTATCATACCAGTATTTTTATTGGACCCGTGAAATGACATGAATAAAGATGGGCCACTTAGCTTAATAATAATCATAAGTTCATTATCAAGATCAACACACAGTAGGTGGTACATGCAAATTGGCAAAGGAATTAGTAACATATAAAAATGATGAAACATGAATTCAGGCAGTGGATTAAAATGTGCCTGGCTTCTGGATTTTGTTCTCATTAACTGGAAGTTTTGATGCAGGATGTTCTTGGCGAACATCCGTTATAAGGCATGTAGTGTGGTACCTAATGTTTTTGTCAAAATATGTACATATATATATCTCATAGTAAAGTTTGTAGATGATGATGAGATCTAGTGGCATAATAAGAAAAGCCAAAATTGGTCATATATAGTATCCTTATAGTATTTAGCATTACTTATATCTCCATTATGAAGACCCCAGACCTAATATATAGATGATAATGTTACGAAAGAGACAAGTTTAAACTTCATTGCATTGCTTTTCATGTTTTCCCTCATATGGTGATTACTAAATCATCTTTTCATCTTTAGTCCCGACAGACACCGGAGGGAGAATTTCTGCCGCTAGACCAGTGTGAACTGGATGTTGGATTTGGAACTGGAGCTGACCAGCTGTTTTTAGTTTCCCCATTAACTATCTGTCATGAAATTAACTCAAAGAGCCCCTTTTTTTGTCTCTCGCAAAGATCGCTCAGAAGTGAGCAATTTGAAATAGTTGTCATCCTTGAAGGAATCGTTGAGACTACCGGTAAGATTTAGAATAATATGCATGCTCTAATTTTTAGTCCTTGTTTTCAGTCCTGATATTTTCAGCGAGGCAGCCATTAATCCTTTCAGGATGCTAATCCTGGATGCTCCAGAATATCCTGCCATATGCTACAGAGCTTCATTGGCCTTTACCGGCAAACAGCAGACCTCCCTTCCCCACAGGGCTCTGCATTACCGATGCACAAAGTGGCCAATACATCCAAGAAGAGATACACCCTGCCACTCTTTGAGTGTGGCATGTAGAGGAGTACAACACCCTTGAGGCTTCTGTTTTAAGGACCACTGCTCCGAAAGAACATTGAACTTTAAAAGTTGCCGGTGCTGCAAAATCACTTTCAGCCTAGCTTGCATTAAATTGAGTGCAAAATAACAAATCCAGTTTTATAGTAGAAATACATACCACATAGTTGTAAAGATTGTAGGAACATGTGGTTATCAGCAAATATGAGGAAGGGTTTTGGTTTTTTTAAACTTTTTTTTTTTTTTTAATTCTGATACAGTGTTGTCCAGATGACTGCTGACTTTGTGGCCTTGTCTTTTGAGACTTAATTCTTTTATGAATCCTGTGACAATGTGCTCTGGTTACCTAAGAACCTCTGCATTGACAATCCATGCGTGCTGTTAAAGTCCAAATCGTTCTGTAGGTTCATTGATATTCTGATCTTCTCCCTTCTTTTGAGGATTTTTTTATACTTTGATTAATCAAGGAGCATTTTCATCCTTCTTTCAACAAGATTACCGGTTGCCTGGTTCCCACCTTAGAAACAGTGGTGTCCTTTTGGCACAGCCAAGTGCATTCATCCCGTGCTGGACAGGAAACAGACTGACGGATTACTGTGCGCATGCCGGACTGACCTCTAAACAAATACAGAATCCACCAGAGCGGAACACTCTTTCGCATCGAGTGCAGCGTTCTTTAGATCCTCACAGAAGCCTATTCTCATCCCGCAACTGAACCATGTATCTTAGATAAGCATGTATTCATAACCACACTTAATGCAATTACCTGACCAGGTATCTCAAGGGAAGCTTTTTGTACTTGTCTGAGCATTAATGTAGCAGTAACGGGAGAGCAAATCAGAGTTTGGGCTTATCAACTGCAAATTCTGCCTCCGAAGAGTACCATGACAGGAAGTCTTAAAGCTCTACTCATCTGGGATGTTTGTATTGATTATCATCAGCATGGTTGTGCTGAGATTGTAGCAGGTTTGTTGGCTTGGTTAGAACACATTTTAGCTGTCAGTTCAGACATGTAAATACTTGCTAAATAAGTATGTTTGCACTAAGTGCAACAAATTCTCCTACAAGCTTTACAGCAGTACCTGTGTCTTACCATGGAAGACAGCTGCAGTGTCCCTGCACAGCTTTTTTCTTGACATACTATTTGGAGAAAAAGTAGCCTAGCCTATAGAAGGAATGGAATATTAAATTTTTCATTTAGCTCTGGCTCCCCTTATACCTGATCTTTGCCAGAGAATTCTGTAAGTCTCTGCCAAGCAACGGTTCTTTCTCCCAAGGTGTCGTGGTTTAGGCTGGGCTGGCTACTGAACAAATGGCAGATGCTCTCTTTTAACCTCTCTCCCTTCCCAGAAGAGAAGGGAGAGAGACTCATGGGTTGAATAGAAACTAAACTACTTTAATGAAATATGAAACTAAAACTATTAACAATAAAAAGAAAAGACAATAATATTAATAAGAAAATAATTAAATATATACAATATATACAACCCCCCTATCAAGCTCCCAGGATGATGGTCACATCACCGGCAGACATGGGGAAAGTCCAGAAAAGTCCAGACTGGACTCAGCAACGGGCAGGAACCGGATTCCAGATCTGG